TCAGGATGACAGGGCTCCATGTTCTGAATTCGGTCGTTGAACCGAGCCACGTAGTCTTTGACAGTCTCGTCGTCCTTTTGCACAATGTTGGTAATCGATTCTTTCGGAATGCGACAAATTTGAGCACCGATAAAGTGTGATCGGAAGGCTGCACGTAACTGTTGCCATTTCCAAATCGAATGAGGTGGGAGAGTATAATACCATTTTTTGGCTCGTGGCCCCAGTGTAAGTGAAAACATCCGACACCTCAAAGCATCTGAAGCCCCATGTAAATCCATCCAAGATGTATAATGGCCTAAATGTGCATCTGGATCTGATGTCCCATCATACATGCCAATTTGTGGAATTTTCACTTTCACAGGGAGTGCCTCCGCATTAAGTTCGGGGGCTAAAGAAGAATCCGCCTCGACAATAACATTTCCCGACGTCGTGACATGTCGGGGTGAGTCTTCTTGTGACTTCTGTCGCGTCTCAAGTTCAGCCAAACGTTTACGAAGGGTTTCAATTTCCTCTGCACTGTGTCTTGAAAGTCGATTCCGTTCAATTTGGCGTCGCAAATCTTCACGAGCGTGAGGTGCTGACGGAATGGGTCTAGGACGTGGCGAAACTCTCTGGTGATGAGCAGAATGACTTTCAGCAGTCATCTCCTGCACAGGAGGTTGATCTGGGACTTGATTGTTCGTTACGGGATTAGCAATTACATGAGCCTGCTCTTCTTGACGTGGAGAAGTATGATGAGGCTGCGACGTAGCATGTGATGTCGCTACATGTGTTTCATGATCATGATGAGTGTGGGTTGGATGTTCTGTTGGGTTAGTAGTTAACGACATCGACAACGGTATCGTACTCGAGTTCCTGGGCATGGCTCGAGCTATTAATGAAGTCAAGCCTTGGATAAACTCCGGATTTTGAAGAAAGTTCGTGACATTCGTGACCGGAGGAGGTGGTGTTGTACGCCGTGGAGAATGGTTAGTCGATTGGCTCTGGCCAGGGTGAGGTACATGATCTCGACCAGACTGCGACATGATAGTTTTTTGAATGCAACAATGGCTTAAAGGCGAAAGTTAACTTAAAAACATAAGCCGCCCTTCCTCTAGCGCCAAACTGTTGTCAAATGAAAATTAACAACGATCTTATTGATAAGGGTTTGTAATAAACTCAAGGTAAATCAACAAAAATGTGTATATTGAAAAGTAGATAGAATTTCTCTGTGAATATTATTATTGTATGTATGTCTCTCTGGAGAATTTTTTTTCTCCTTTCATATTTATTTACAATATTTATCCGTACAGTAATCATTACATTTGAAAGGTCAAAGGCGGCTCTTAGCCACTTCTCTTGATTGCTCGCCACTTGGACAAACGTAATGATGATTTATGCTGAGTTGTCGCCGCCTTTCAATGCTGAGATGGCACATTATAGATAATGGTTCACCCAGTTATAACCGATATGTTGTATCCGACATGTGGTGACCGACATGTGATGACCGACATGAGATATCGGTTAAGTAATGGAGATGTCGGTTCTTGTTGAATCTCTCATCATGTAGTCGTCTTGAAGTCGGTGGAAGCGTCACGTACTTGTACAAATTCTATTTATCCTCATACTGACCTTAATCGGATAATCAATGTCACTTAACTTGGTTTACTGAAAATGATATCAACAGATGTTTTTAGCTTCGAATTCCGAGGACGGAATTCCTTTTAAGGTGGGTAGACTGTAGCGCCCCGTTCGTTTATTAGAATTTTTATGGATTTTATGTGATTATTTATTTGCTTTATAATTGATTATTGCCTTTGTTTTATATTATTTGCTCCATTATCTTTTATTAACTGCTCGTCTCTATTTGTCATAATTATCTGCTTATTTATTTAAATTGCTATGTGATATAATTTAGGTGATTATTATGTGATCTTTACACTATTATTTATGTGAATATTAGGTGATTTAAATTGTTATGTATGGGTTAGAACTATTAGGATTTTTTTGAATTAGATTAATTATTCGGCAATTTTCGGTGTAATCGCGTTAACCAATTCTTAATCCGTTCAGATTCGTTTTCGAACCATTCTAACCCGAACCTTGAACTTATTCATTTGACCCGAGTCAATATTAATTTCGGTCCATTTTAAGTCGTAAGAACCATGCCAATTGGGTGTATTTTTCCCAGCCCAGTTCAATGGAATAAATCCTTAAGCCCAATTTTCTTTTTTTTTCTTCTTGGCCCATTAAAACCAAAAGCCGCAGCTTCTATCATCTTCTCGCGAGCGACCAGGTCCTCCCTCCCTTCAACGGATTATATTTGGTTGCAATATTTTGGGAGAAATCCCTTCGCACGTTCACCCGTCACTGCTATATCTCAACCGAGGATCAGTTCTTTCATGAGAAACATTCAACCCACCATCTTCTCTTCTCTGTTAAAATCGCAAGCCTGCAAAATTTTTGCCAGAAAAGCTTCGCTCATCATTGTTTCCGGCGGACATCCTCACCGTCGTCGTGTTCTCGCGAATCCTCGCGGTCAGAAGCTCTCGTTCGACCTCGAGCAACGAACAAACCAGCCCCGCAAATCCATTTGAGAATCTCCGGCAAAGCTTTGCTGTCCATTGATTCCGGCGAATAACCCTGGCGACCTACAACTCTTCACCGGTGTCCAATTCAGAGAGTCGCTGCTCATGAGAAGTTCAATTAGCGTCGTGGTCAGAGTTTGAGTTCCATCGAGCCTCCGTTCGTCCCGTTCATTCGATCCCCTTTCCGATAGTTCGTAGATTCCCGAAGACAGGTAATCTTTTAAGAACCTCCTTATTATTATGTTCGTACTCATGATAATCGTTCGATTTTGTTTTGCTCGCTGAAATAGTTTATCGTCGGATTATTTATCGTTGTTTGTTCATTCGTTAAATTGTAAATATTTATTCATGGAATTATTGGAACTCAAGTTCGAGTTACCGGGTATTGTTGCTGTTGTGGTCGAATCGGGTTATTTCAGAGTCTTGTTCTATGGTTTTGAGCTTTACCGTCGTCAATGTGTTGTTCGTTATTTTCAAACCGTATTTTGTCGTTTTGTTTTCCGAACTAATAAAAGTCGTTTTTTTATAAGATTTCAAAACTCGGGAAAGGTCGTTATGCTCGTAAATGTTTGAATTTCTCGTGAAATCGCAATTGGAAATTCTGTCGAAACTATGTTGCAGCTTCTGTTAAATTTTTTCTGTTTTGTGCAGCCTCTGTTCGATTTCTGTTTCTGTTCAAATAGATGGTATTTCTTTGAACTCATTTATTTATGTTTGCATTTAGAGTTGCATGTAGGCGTGTAGTGCAGTGGTATGTGCACTTGTTTCTCTGCGCGAGGTCAGGTGTTCGAACCTTGCCCTTCGCATATTTGTTTTTAAATATTTGTTTTTAAATTCCCCCCAGCCTTAACGCGCGAGCTGTCTGGCCCGAACTACAGCCCGCACGGCCCGATCCTTCTCTCGGCTGCTGGCCCGCATAAGCCCACACTCCCGGCCCGCGTCTGTTTCAACTGTTTTGCTTTGGGCCAGACCCTTATTTCGCCCCAAAGGTGTTAGTGTAAAGCCCATTTTCGCAGTGGAATTGTGTGCAACGCGGGCCAGTGTTTAATCTGTAACACCCCTCCTTATCGTTAAAATCAGAGTGCGAAAGTTCGCAAAGTTATTTAAAAATAAAGCCTTTTACTTTGCGAAAACTGATTCGGGGTGCTACCTTAAAATCGTGACTAAATTTGGAAAACCGTTATTTTAATTTTTAAGAAAATCATCCGGTTACTGAAAGCATAAAGTTTTCCAAAAGTTCGTCAAAATATAAGTACATCAAAAGTCATCAAAACATCATCAGCGGAAGCGTAAGTCATCAAAATAAATATACAGTCAAGAGCATAAATGTCCTGAAGCTTCCGTCAGCTCATGCTCCCGGCCCGACGTCCTGACCTGAAAAACATAATAAAAGTGGGAAATGAGCACTATGGCACTGTGCTCCGTGGAAACTCATACTAATGTAAACATTGAAAATAATAACAACATCATGATATCAGTATATACATAACCTCAACCTCAAGCCGGTAATAACATGAACATGAATCTAAAATCGTCACGCAAACGTGACCCTGACCGTTACCTCATCTGCCGGAAAAAAATAATGTCGGACACCATGTGTACACTCTAGTGGGCAGACTAGGGCCACTAGAACCCAGAATGGACCGACGACCATTCCGAGCGGATACCTCACATGAAATACATACCTCAAGTATGGTACCGTAATTATAATCAATGTAGTACTTAGTCTGAGTCCCCACCTGAACTGCTGAACTGAACGGTAGTGCTGATGCCTGATCAAACTGAAATAATATAAACAATTACGAATGACTATGCTCAGACTGTTAACTTAACTGATAAATTTCGTTAAGATGCTCTACTGAACTTAACATGATATTTAGACTTAACCGGAATAACCGGAACTGAACTGACATGAACTGATTGGACATGAATTTACTGAACTGAAATCATCCCAGAAATTTAACTGAAAATATCATTAGAATCATGAACCGAGCTGAAACCTTAACATAAGAATCGAACCGATTTAAAAATGGAACTGAACCGATTTAAAAATGGGGCTGAACCGGTCCAGCCAGTCTGAACCGGTCTGGACCGGA